AGATTTGCGATTGATAAGCTCAAAGTTACTCTCATCACTTCACATAATGTTTTCCCATTGTTCTATTGTCAAATACCTTCTTTCACGACACCATTTTAGTCTCCTTTGTTTATCATATGGATGCAGAAGCGGTTTCTTTAAAGCAGTGTAGATTCCAATCTTGTATTTGATAAGTATTCGGCGGACTATGCTTTGAGAAATAGATGTATTTGGCGTTGTATTGAATTCTGTGGTCAATTCTTTGTAACTAATTCTTGGATTAGCTCTGACAGCTCTAAAACGAACACTGTCGTCCATTCTGGTGGTTGACAAGGGTCTACCTGGCCTCGTTTTCTCGCTGGCACCACCAGTGTGAAGAAAGTTTTGCTTCGTTGTCCGAACGCATTTCTCAGAAAATCCAATTAACTTGGCAATTTCTCTATTACTTTTGGTTCCTTCTTTGATATGAGCAATAATTTGCCATCTTTCACCTTGAGTGATACGTCTTTCGCCCATTTTTCGCGTCTTTTTAGTGAAAAACTAACTTAACTTTTGTTTATTTATTAAATAATGATTAACTAATTCCAGGTAAGTCATACTTAAATAAGGTTTTTTGACAAAATCAATTAATTTAGGCCTATTAATGAGAAATATGGGAAAAACCTACTAATTAACTATCAATTAACAAGATATAAAACTTTTTTGATTGTGCGTCTAAATTTATGAACAAAATAAAATCAAGCTTGTCAATTAACTTTTTTGTGTTAATCGTTATAGAATGAGAAATAAACATCCTGTAAAAAAAATGAAGGTACTCTATAATAGAGTTTTACTTCCTCTTTTAAATTATATATCAAACATAGCGGTAGCACTTTTATTTTATTTTTATTTTGAGTATTTTCTTACATATATGAAAAAAAAATGAATGCGTCTAAATTTATGAAAGCTACTGTATATATATATATATATATATATATATATATATATATATATATATATATATATATATATATATATATATATATATATATATATATATATATATATATATATATATATATATATATATATATATATATATATATATATATGTAGGCCGACGTTTATATGTATATATTTACACATATTTTATGTATATTTTACACACATTTTATATTATATATAGATATATATATATACAGATCCGCCGCGTGGGGAGGGTCACTGGATACATTTAACCTGGGCGCAGGATCAGAAGGGGCGCACAAATAAAAACTTTTTTTTTTTAAATTATAAAATAGATGCACAGGGCTTTAATGAAAAACTTTTTAAACTCGTAATTTAAAAATGAATTATTCAACAATACAGCATTAGCCGAATTCATTTACGGGAGTCTGATACTAGCCAAAACCGTTGCGAAAAAATACTTTTAAGGGCTGCTAGGTTAAAAAAGAACATATATAATTAAATATATATATATATATATGTCAAATATGGAATGGTGACATGAATGAAGTTAAAAAATGCCACCAAAACAATCCATCGAGACTATTACATTAAGTAGAAAACAGCGCTAAAAGGAAAACCAGTGCAGGATTGATTCAAGTTTAAAAAAATTGATAAGAAATAAGCCAGACAGACAGAGTGAAATTTTAAAGTGCTTCTTTGATGTAACTCTCTTCTTAGCATCACGCTTTAGAGGTATATTAGTGAATGTTAATTATTATATTTATATTTATGTCATAATTTATTTTATTATACTTAAACAGAAAATCATGGTTTATATGTGTAAACATGTATTATTACATGTATGTATTAAAATCATCGTTTTAGACTCTTCAAAAGTGATCAATGATGACGATAACGGCAATTTTCTTGCAACTCTAGAGCTACTCGCAAAGCACAACAAGACCCTTTTGTTACATTAGAAAGAGGTTTTCTGGTATCAACATGAAGATAAACAAATTATTGTGCGTTTTTTGGGTTGGAATTCCCAAAATAAGTTTATAAAAAATTGCGGAAGAATCGTCAACGGTGCCATTATTAATGATGCGCATATAGTAATTTACGTCTCTTATACTGAGCAAATTGCATTTGTTCTGCGCTTTGTTTACAATGGTATTGATAAAAGACAGTTAGTTAAGGAGCGCTTTCTTAAGGTCGAAAATCTTAAACAAAACAAAGTTGTGGATATTGCCAAGATAATTATGGATTTCTAGGATCATAACGACATCAACCTGAAGAACTGTTCAGGTCAAGGGTACAACAACGGTGCTAACATGTCTGGTGTGTACAAAGGAGTAAAAGCGATCATCCTTCAGAGAAATCCTGAGGCTTTCTACATGCTATGCAGCGCTCATAGCCTTAACCTAGTTGTTGATCATTCCCTTGAATCTTCTGTAGAAATGAAGAACTATTTTGGCCGGATTTAGTTACTCTACAATCTTTTTAGTGGAAGCCCTATACAATGTCAAATCTTGACCAAGAGAATTGGTTTGTCTCGTCATTAAAACTCACAAAACCGATGGAGTGCACGGATTGAGATTTTGAAGCCGTTGGTTAAGCAACATAGAGAAATTATTTTTTCTTTGCAAAAACTTCAGGAACTTGATTTAACTACTGATGTATTGAATAACGTAAAATCTTTGGAGAAATGGATTTATTCATTTTAGTTTATTATCATGACAACCTTCTGGTTAGAAGCGCGCCAAGCAATTGTCAGCGTGTCATTTCAATCAGAAAACATTACTTTAGATGAAGAGATGAAACTTATTAGGGTTTCTATGGAGGATCTTATGAATTTAGATATTCTTGACCCAAATAAATTAATGAAGCACATTTGGTTATCTCCGGTCTAGCTAGTTATGGGTTTTAGTCAAAGTTAGTTCAAAAAAGGACAGGAAGAGAAAAACCTTTTACAAAGAAGCAAGGAATGAAGGTCATTTCTAAGAAAAATATGAAAAGTAGTTTGAGGTGAACGTGTGCCCGTTTTTCAAAACACCTTTAGATGCTTTTTACGTATTTCGAGAAAAACGCAATTAAAAATTATTTTTAAAGACCTTTGAAAAAAACAATTATTCAATAACCTTTGCAGACACCTAAATAAGCTTATTTTCTAAAAAAGTTGATTTTGATTTTTTTTACCTTAAGGCGTTAACATGCGAAAAACGGCTGAAGAACACCACTCTCGATCTTTAATCCAAAAATATAAGACAGATTTCGAGCTGCAGAAGAAATGACAAACAGTTTCTCCTTCCTATGGTTCTCGGAATCTAATAGTAGGTCGAATGAAGAAAATTGAACCACCTAGCCTGGAGGAGAAATGTAAAACTTTGGCGCAAATCTATGTGAACAATGTAGATGAAGACATACTAATTTTAGAGGTCCATCATCTGGATATTCTGAAGCACGCCAAGCTTTTCAGTCCAAAGAAGCACGCCAAGCTTTTCAGTCCAAGAATATCTTACTTCAATGAAGCTATTAAATGGGATCTATTAAATAGGTCTAGAATCTATCTTCGAATCAATAGGCATTTTGTTACGTATTTTTAACACGATTCTTGTTTCCATTGCCGAAAGAGAGATTTTTCAGTAAGCTTGGTCTAGACAACATTAAGATCTACAATAAGTCAAGACCGGCTAACCAATTTCTTAGTTATATCTATTGAATACGATCTTGCAAAAAATCTGTGCTACAATGATATCATTCCAAATTTTGCTAAAAATTAAACCCGTAGAGTCAATAAAATTCAGTAATTTGTGAACTTGTGCTTCTTCTTTACTTTTATTTCAAATTTATTTTAAAAATAAATAGAAGCCTCCTCGACTGTATTTACTCCTTCGGTCTTTAAAATTGAACTGTTAACAAAAAAAGACATCTAGAGTGTGTGTGTATATATATATATATATATATATATATATATATATATATATATATATATATATATATATATATATATATATATATATATATATATATATATATATATATATATATATATATACACACACTCTAGATGTCTAACTTGCGGGATTTGATTGAACGAAAAGTGAAGCCTTTTTTTTTTGTTAAAAAATTTAATTCGCCAGTTGTATAAAGGGCAAAAATAATAGAATAAAACGATTATTAAATCTACTTTATTTCTTACTATCCTTCTATTACCATTATAAATATACCAATGTGTGCTCTGATAAAAATATAATGCGTCAGCCGGGAATCGAACCCGGATCTATTGCTTGGAAGGCAACAATGCTAACCGTTACACCACCGACGCTTATGTAATGATGCAGTTAAAAATGTATATATAATTTTGTTTTAATATTAAATATAAATTAGAAATATAGGTAGGTTGTCACTAAATCAAAACATATATTAATAATAGTAATTTAGTATTAGAACTAATTAACATATGGTACTAGGTCACAATGATAGGTTTATATAGTTCAGTATTTTACTGAATTATATAACTGACTTTTATATGACTTAGTTTATATTTATTATATATATATATATATATATATATATATATATATATATATATATATATATATATATATATATACATATATATATATATATATATATATATATATATATATATATATATATATATATATATATATATATATATATATATATATATATATATATATATATATATATATATATATATATATATATATATACAGTGGCGGATCTACAGTACTGCAGATTAGGCGGCCGCCTAAGGAGAAATATTATATTATAAATAAGGTGTATCTCACTTTACATTTTTTTAAAGTCAAAATTTCATTAGGATTTTTTTCACGGTTTCGGATTTGAAACCGCAAAAATGAGCGAAAGTGTTAAATATATTGGCGAATATATTGATTGGCGAAATGGCTTTTTTATGCATTAGGCGAAAAATTTTTTGCCTAATCTAAGGCAATCTGGAAAATCGGAAATTTACCCTAATTTAGTTAAAATTTGGCCGGTTGGTTTTTATGCCTAAGGCCGCCTGATCTGAGGCGATCTGATCAGAAAACTAAGAAAACTAGACATATTTGCCTGAAACTTGGCCGATTGGGTTAAGTTTAGGCATAAAAAGTCTGGAAATTAAAAAATTTAAACAATTTCCTTGAAATTTGGCCGATTGGGATATAGTTTACGCATAAAATGTCTGGAAAATAATACTCTTAGCATTTCTTTCTTCAAGTGTCTAATTTAAGCTGTCTAAGATTTTTGATAATTTGTGAATTGCATTAGAGAGAAGCGATAAAGTTACATTCGAAAAGATAAACAAGAAGTATTCCCTCCAAGTTGATTCTTTATGTTTTTTGCATTCATTAATTAATCAAGTTCATCTTAAATATTTGCGTTTAAGCCTACTTAAACAAAACTGCAAAATCGGATAAATTAGTACCTATTCTGTAAGTTATTATTTGTTTATACTGCTTTATTTACGTTAAGTTATTTAATCAGAGGCTTTCATCAGATTAGCATTAGTATCAAATTATTCATATTTTGCTAGCAAATCACAAGTTAATCTTACAGTTTAACTTGTAAAATAATGTTTCAGTGCGAACTATATATCAAATGCAAAAACTAGTTAGTGGTTTTAGCTATGGATTTATTTACAAGGATTTTAAAGTTAAACAATAAGGCTTTATACACCCATTGTTTTAGTCATCGAATAAATCTAGCAGTGTGTAATTCTTGCAAAGTTCAACTTCTCTGTAATGCTATGAACCATGTAAAAGAGGTTTTCTATTATTTTAATTTTTCTATCAAAAAAAATTCTGTCTTGGAGACAATGATTTTAGAACACTGTCCTGATAAAAAGGAAAAAAAACTTAAAGATGTTAGTTGAACTAATTGGCTTGAAAGAATAGATGGTTTGGACACATTACAGAAGTTGTATATTCCAATAGTTTATTCCCTTGAAGCTATAAGCAATGACATAAATAAGTTTGGGGCAGACTCCCAAAGAGCTACATCTTTATTGAAATTGGTCACTACCTTTGAATTTATTATTTCCTTGGTTGTGGCTAGAGCTGTTTTTGATAAAAAACATATAGTGACTAAGATTGGAGGGAAAGCTTGAAGATTTTTTCTGATTTTTATTATGAAGATTTGTCAAATGCATTAGCTTTAGATGCAGAGTGTGGGCTTTGGGAGGTATACTGGACTACTAATTATCCCATTCCAAACAATGTGTCTGATACTATAAAGTCAATTTCATGTATAAAAATTTTTGCCAATATTTTTGTTTGTTTGCAGTTATTAGCAACTTCACCTGTGACATCGTGTTCTTATGAAAGATCTATTTTAAATCTTCACAGATTCAAAACCTGGTCAAGATCAACTATGTCTGGAGATCGTTTGGTTTAACATTGATGTATACACATAGAGATATAGTTCCAGATAATCAAGAAGTCATCAAAAAGTTAATGCAAAGAAATGGCTATGTTTCTGTACAAATAAGTCAAAGTCTCTGTGACTCGGTCTATTCGTAAACATTTTTACACAATTTTAATAGTTTAAAGACTGTTGACTAAAGCATATAAATCACTTAAAATCTCTGTGAATATGACTTCGTTTCGTCTACTATAGTCACTATAATCTATAATCACAAGTTAAATCTTTTAATCACAAGTTAAATACACTTTTAGTGTCAATCTAATTGACACTAAAAGTGTATTGCATTCATTTGTATGTAGGATAAAAACATATATTTTATTGCCTAAAAATACATTTGGCCATAAATATATTTTTCAACTTTAAAATCCAAAATTAGTGAAAATAAAGATTAAAACATTTAAATATATTAGTAAATAAAGAGTTATGGAAAACCTTTCTGGTTGAAACAGTTCAGTACAATATATTATTTATCCTAATTTTTACTTCATTAAATTAGCAGTTTACTTTCTGAGGGGATTTTTGTTTTAGAAAAAATTGTTATATTGTTAAAATTGTTTTATTGTTAAAATTTTTATATTGTTAAAATTGTTATATTGTTAAAATTGTTATATTGTTATTATTAGTATAATTGTTCAAGGAACTCTCCTGAACAATATTACTAAATAACTAGCACATTTTTATTTTTTGTTGTTCAAAATTGCAACTACGATTTCAGGCTTGTGATTTAGACGGTTTGTGTAAATTTTTAAGTGATTTTTAACAACTGGAATTTTTCTTATCTTAATCCTTAATTACAGAACAGTTTTTATCTTTACTCAATCACTAGGAGGACTTTATCAACATTTAAAGTGTAATTTCAAATCATGAAATATTTTTTAAAAACTTTATGAATGTTTAAAAACTACTTTATTTTATTGTCATAATACTCTTTATCTTTTATGATTAAGTTTCCTGTTAATCAATGAATGAAAATGTGCAAGGAAAAGCAGTTTGCTAATTGATTGTGTATTTTTCTGTCATACACCTTCAGTCGTTCTGCATAAAAAATCGTACACATGAATAGGAAGGAACCTTGACGTGGTTCATGTGCTTTAAACAAATACCTTCCAGACAGATACATTCTCACCCGTTGTACTTTAAGAGATAAATGGTCAGAAATTTGATTTCTTTAGATTTTTTTTTTTGTCTGAATTTATTTATTACTCAATAAATCAAATTTTTTTAAATGTATTAATAAAATCATAGTTAATCTACTATTTGTTTTCAATGGTTTGTATTCTTCGAATTGGCTAATAAAAATTAGCAAATCAATAAAAAGGGCTGGTGCTAGTTGCCGATACAGATTGTGATATATTTGGCTGATTAAGCTGATGCAGATTAATCTGAACATCACCAAGAATATTCAGATTAATTTTGAATTTCCAAATTCCTTTTTTTATTTTAGGTTGACATCGAGTACATAAACCATATTAAGATTAGCTAGTATAGGTATAATTTTTTATTAAATTTTGCATATGTTTCATGTAAAAGATAATGACCAGAATCAAGTTTATATTTATAAAAAAAAATCCAAAAACAATAAAAAAAACAATAGTTTGGGAGGGAGCGATTTTAAGTTAATTTTTGCTTGAATTTTAGACTTATATTGTCTTAACCAGTTTAGCATTAAATTTTTTTTTTGTTTTTGAAAATGCGTTCTTATTTTTATAAAAGGCTGCAAACACCGAGTCTTAATCACAAAAAAAAATTCCAAATAGTGCAAATAGGGTGAATACATAGGGGGAGCCCCCCTGGTGTCAAATAAAAACCTTTTGAAAATATAAATCCGAGTTAGTATAGAGTTGACAAATAGTAAATGGGGAAGGGAGGCTTATTTGGTATTAGAGAGTACCACTGTCTGGGATGGATTGTGTTATATCAATCGTGGCTCAGTAGTTAGAGCATTGGATTCGTAATCTAAGGGTTGCGAGTTCGATCTCTACTCGAAGCACATAAAGGTTATCGGTATAGTTGGAAACGGAGAGCCAAGTTACAAATGTTATTGTCTTTGTGGCGGTGCTCTGTGACAAGGCCATTAGGACTTCTTAGAGCACCTTAATAACAACAACAAAAAAAATGGGGGTGGGGGGCGCTAATATTAAAAAAAAATCGCCAAAGGAAAAATAAATCCTAGATCCGCCCCTGATATATATATATATATATATAGGGCCGGCGCGAGTAGGTGTCACGTGGGGGGTGGGGGGTGCCATTACAACTTTTGCCGACTAAAAAAAAAAAAAAAAAAAAGTTATCGTTTTCCAAATTTGCCGACTGTCATGACGACATTTGCCGACTGTCTAATCTATATCGAAAGGGGGTCCACATTTGCCGACTAACTAGGTCCAATTTGCCGACTAAGGGTCCAATTTGCCGACTAAAGGTCCAGTTTGCCGACTAAAAATCATTGATGGGGGGGTGTCACACCCCCCACCCCCTATCGCGCCGGCCTTGTATATATATATATATATATATATATATATATATATATATATATATATATATATATATATATATATATATATATATATATATATATATATATTATATGTAAATAGTCACAGTAAAATATATTTTAGTATAATTCAGTATTAATACTGAACTATATAATCCTATCACCAATTTAAATGTAGTATAAAGTCACCAGACTTTATACTACATTTAAATTAGTTCTAATTTTTTTTTTTTTAATTTAACATTGGTAGATTTACTTTATTTAACTTTATTGACCCCTTTTCGTTGTTTTGATTTTGCGAAACAAATGCGCATGCGCGCGTCTTTGGCAGTCGAAACAAATCGATTTTAGAGCTAAACAGTAAATATTAATTAGCGTGTTTTAATAATATAGGAGTAAAAAGGTTTAATTTATACAAAGTTTTTTTAATAATCATTTATATTTATAAAATAATATGCCTGACGTGTGTTGTGCTTATGGATGTACAAATAGAAGAACATTAGCTAATGTTCATTTAAGCTTTTATCGAATACCAGTTAATAAATCTGAATCTAGTACTAACAGAAGAGACAAATGGGTTGCAGCAATTAAAAGAGAAAAATGGAACGTAAAACAAATAAATAATGCTCGTTTGTATAGTGCTCATTTACTACAGGTAAGATTTTTAGTTTTCCATTCAGTATTTTTTGTGTTCTAATAGTTTTCATGTATTTTTTATACTTAAATAAAAATAATAAAAAATAAACACTTAAAACTTTAAGTATTCTTACTTATGTATTAACTGATAATCATCTTTTTTTAGGGAAAAAATTTGATGATCCCTGTCATATTGATTATGTTCCAACTGTATTTTCTTTTAAAAAGACACAAACAAATTAAAGCTTCTTTAGAACGATATGAGCGATCAAAAAAAAGGCAGCGAACTCTTTCTAGTAATGAGACTATATTACCGATTCCCGAGATTGGATCATTTAACGAGATTAATGAGTTGATTGAAGAGGACTGTTTAAATTGTCCTTCAGAAAACGAGATAACCCAAAGAGCTATTGAAATAGGTAAAACAAGAACAAAAAAATTGTAAATTAAATTTATCTTAATTGGTGTCACTGATATATAATTTATGTGTTGATTAACATTTAAACTAATTGTTTTTTTTTTTTTTTAATTTTGGAAAAATTTATTAGTAGTATTATTTGCATATTAGTATAAAATATTATTAGCATTGTAAAATATAAGCATAAAGTATTATTTACATATTTTTAATTTTAGGCACACAAACTGAAATATTTGTAAGAAAAGAAAAACAACTAGAACGAACTTTGAGAAAAAAGATATTTGAAATACAGAAATTAAAGCAAAAGTTACAAATAAGTCAAAGACAATTAAAGTTTACAAAGGAGAAGATAATTGACAATATTAATATTAAAGAAAAAGCATTAAACTTTTTAACTGGAATTACCAAACCAGCTTTGTTTGAATGGATTTTGCAAGAAGTTAAATCTTGTGTTAAACCTATTGTTAAAACAATGTCCTTAGAAAACCATTTATTAATTGTATTAATGAAGTTAAGACTTGGACATAAAAGTAAAGATTTAGTTTTGAGATTTAACATTAGTGAAGGAGTCATATCAAAAATATTTCGCTTATGGATAAAAAAATTAGCCAATGTATTGTGCAATTTAATTGTGTGGCCTGAACGAGCTGCTATAAGAGCAAACTAGCCATGTTGTTTTACAAACTTTAAAAATTGTGTATGTATAATGGACTGAAATATTTATAGAAAGGCCACATAACTTAACAGCTAGGGCTCAAACCTAGTCTACCTATAAATCACGTAATACCATTAAATATTTAATTGGATTAACACCAGCTGGTGCTGTAAGTTTTTTATCATCTGGATGGGGTGGTCAAGCATCAGACAAACTGATCACAATTGAGTCAGGTTTTTTAGATAAAGTTTGTTACGGAGATTGTATTTTAGCTGATAGAGAATTTTTAGTGGAAGAAGAATTAGCAACAAGAGGAGTTGTTTTAATAATACCAGCATTTACAAAAAGTAAAAATCAAATGGCTATAAAAGACATTGATTTATTACGTCAAATTGCTCGTGTGAGAATCCATATAGAAAGAGTTATTATGCGTTTAAAAAAATATCAACTGTTAACATCAACTATACCTTTAAGCCAGGTTGGTTTACTTGATAGTATAATGATTTCAGTAGCTGGACTTATAAATTTAAATAAAAGTGTAGTACAGAAATAAAAAATGTCTATTAACAGGGTTCATGGCACTCAGGGAAAACCTGGAAAACCAGGGAAAAGTTTTAAAAATTTAGAAAATCAGGGAATACCTGGAAAAGTCAGGGAATATTTGTTAAAAATCTGTAAAATCAGGGAAAACTCAGGGAATATTTTTCAGTTTTTTATTTAGCTTGAAGTTATTTTGCAAAATACACATTTTGAGTGTTTATTGTTGTTGAAAGTTGCTCACTAAAGTGGTTTTTTAACTTTTATATTATATAGTAACTATATGTTTAGCTAAATGTATAAATAAATATAATAATATAAGACATGACTTCAGAAAAGACTTATTTTCAAGAGGATTGGTTACAACAAGATATTTATAAAGATTGGTTAGTTCCCAACGCACATGCAAAAACTAAAGCTCATTACAAAAAATGTAAAAAATCATTTGAATTGTCCAATATGGGTATTCAGGCTGTTAAAAGTCATGCAGCAGGTATTTATATTAACTTTTTTAATGTGAGAGTGAGAATTAAAAAGAAATGTTGCTTGATTGATTCATTATTTTATATTTTAATATCAGTTTCAAACACATTGTAATCAACTTTTGATTGCAACCTGTTTCAGTTGTTTTCCTTGTTGGTTGGTTGCTTATATTGTTATTTCAAACTTTGCAAGATAAACTGATTGAGAAAAAAGATAAAAATTTTTAGACATTTTAAATGTTTCATTATTTATTTATCTTGTTTTAGGTAAGAAGCATCAGTCTGCTACAAAGCCTGCTAGTTGTTTCTTTATTAACGGAAAAGAGTTGCATGCTGAACCACTTGGAAGTGATGAAAAAATATCCACATTTTTCACCAAAAAACAAGCAACTATTGTCTCTTTAATTAAATCATCGTTATCAACTAATGCTGAGATCATATGGGCCCTGAAATCTACAATGAGCTGCTACTCTAATAACTCATGTGCAAACTTTTAAAAAGATGTTTCCTGATAGCAAGGTAGCAGAAGATTTCACTATGAGCACCTCAAAAGTATCATACATTGTTAACCATGGACTAGCCCCATACTTCAAGACACTTTTAAAAGAAGAAATCACAAAGTCTGATTGTTACATTGTATCTTTTGATGAGAGTTTAAACGACATAACCCAAACTTGTCAGATGGATCTACTAGTTCGGTATTGGGATGGCAATAATAAAGTTAAAGTGAGATATTGGACATCAGCATTTCTTGGTCATTCTGCAGCTTCTGACCTTCTTACACATTTCAACGAAAACTTATCAAGATTTGATTCAAGTAAAATGTATCAAGTTTCCATGGATGGGCCCTCTACAAATCAGAAATTTCTAGATGATCTTAATAAACACAGAAAGGACAACGAGATGCCACAACTTATAAATATTGGAAGTTGCTCTTTGCATGTAATCCATGGTGCTTTCAAAACAGCTATCGAATCAACAACATGGAATATTAAAGAAACTTTAAAAGGGTGTTGGCAAATTCTTCATGATAGCCTAGCTAGACGTCAAAATTATGAAACAGTCACAGGTGCAACAAAATACCCTCTCTTTTTTTGTGGAACAAGATGGGTTGAAAGTAAATCTGTTACAGATTGTTGCATTGAAATCTGGCCTAATATATGTAAGTTGATTGAGTTTGGGGAAAAGTTACCATCTTCGAAACAACCTAAATCAAAAAGCTTTTTAAATGTAAAAAAGGCTGTTAAAAACAAACTTATTATTTTAAAATTTGAAGTTTTCAGCTTTGTTGCAAGCATATTAGAGCCATATTTGTTGGCATACCAAACTGACAAACCAATGATTCCATTCATGTATCGTGACTTAGAAAGACTGTTACGAACCATACTGAGCTTGTTTGTGAAACAAGATGTTATTGATAATAGTTGTATTTCAGTCCAACTAAAAGAAGTTGATTTTCATAAAAAAGCTAATCTACTTAAAGGAAATCAAATCAAACTAGGGTTCGCAGCTGAAACAAGCCTGGCTGTTTTACAAAAGAAAGATATAATAACCATTGCTGATATTCAAAGTTTTCACAAAGATTGCACTAACATGTATGTTCGATTGATTGAAAAGTTCATGGACGGAACTCCACTAGGATCTATCATTGTACGCAACTCTCAGGTTCTTAACCCAAATGCAATGGTAGTAATGACTCAAGAAGATGCCGAGAAGAAGTATAAATCTTTATTGACCCACTTGATTAGCTTGAAATATGTTTCACCAATCTTTTCTGATAAAGCTATAAATCAATTTGCAGATTTCTTTTGAGAATCAAGGGTTTATCAAGACATCTTTCATGAACTCAATCAAGAAAGAGATAGCTTAGACGACTTCTATTTTAAAAAGTTTAACCTAAATAAATATAAAAGTTTGCATTGACTGTTATAATATTATTAACACTAAGCCATGGACAAGCCTCAGTTGAGAGAGGTTTTAGTATAAATGCCACAGTACTAGAACAGAATTTAATTGAAAAATCAATAACTGCAAGACGTTTAGTCAAAGATCATATGCTATCAAATAATCTTCAGCCACATAGTATTGAAATTACAAGCAAAATGATCATCAGCATAAAATCGGCACACGAAAGATATAGAAGCTACCTAAATTCAATTGCAGACACTAACAAAAAAGAAGCAAGTCAATTGGCAAAAAAAGTTGTTAGCGATGAAATAAAAGATGTTGAAACGAGGCGAGATCAACTGAAGAAAACCAGTGAAATGTTGCAGTTTGATTTGTAAAATTTGTTGAGGAAGCAGAGGAGAAGCAAGATCTAGGGTTAATTTCTAAAGCTAATGCGATGAAACAAAAAGCAAATGAAAAAAATGAAGAAGTAAAGAAATTAGAGCTAGCACTTAAGCTAGAACAAAGAAATTAGAGCTAGCACATCTTAGAGCAAAAAAGAAAGTTGCTAAAATAATATATTCGTTCTCACATGAAGTTTATATTTTGTTAACAAAACACATTAGTTTTTTCAAAACATGTATAAATTGTTATTTTTTTAATATATTTCTTTTAGTTAGCAGATTAATATGGCTCTGTTTCTTGTTTAAAACACCTTTAACGGATTGCTATAAATTAATTAAAAACAGTCTCTGATTTCTTAGAAAATAGTGATAAAAAGTATTTAGGGAATAAGGATTCAGTTGCAAAAGTATTATATTTTTCAACATTGATAGGCAAAATATTTAGACTTTTCACCGCACGAACTCAGGGAAAAAATACTTGAAAATCAGGGAAAATCAAGGAAAACTCAGGGTTTTCCTTGATTGAACCCTGTAATAATTTTTTTTTTTAAACTAAATAGTACAAAATATTATTTTAAACAATTTGGACAAATCCAAATTCCTTTAGGAGCACGAGTTACATTAACACATGAGTAGTGAAACCATTCAATTTCACAACTAGGTTTATTACATGCAATCATTGGTTTAAAGTATGGGCGTTTACAAATGCAATAGTTTTTCTGCTTGTTGCTATAATAAATATCATTTTCTCTTGTTACAGTCTCTGGTAAAATGTATGTAAAATAATATTTGTGTAATGCCTGCTTTATCTCATTGATAAATTATTCATCTCGATAAACTCTAACTAATAGGTAATTTCCTTCACTTTCAAAGGCTCCAAATAAAAAAGTCACAAAATTCTACTTCTAAAATCATCATTTGTCCTTGTATTTAGGTATAATACTTATGGCTTGTTTTTAAATCACCATTTTCACATACAGGAAAATCTTTATCTTCTTTCCAACTATTTAAACCTTCGCGGTATTTGTAGGGACACTTGATTTCTACTAAACCTTTATTGTGGCATGTACATCTAATAATTCCATCTGGTGATGCTCCTAAATATGGATAACTAGCTTGGATATGAATACCAGTTGTTTCTAATTTGAAATTGTTGTGATTTTTTTTAATAATTTAATATAAAAACAACGTGCTTTGTCCTCCATTTCTCTTCCATAAATAACACTTGCTACATTTGGTGAAATTAACTAGTTCATTGTTTTGAATAATAAAGGTTTTGAATTTTGTAATTTTTTATTTACAACTTCATGGAAATTGGATGCTGTAATTCTACTAGCTCGATGTAATTTCCATGTATTTGACAGGTTTTGAGTTGAGACTCACTTCTGCCAATAAGTTAAAGTTGCATTGAGAATAACTGTTCTTGTATTCATTCGATTTTGATAAGCGAAATTCTCCAAGCAAAGATTTGTCAATATTATTTGCATCATTGTCAAACAAAGAAGTAATTGGCTCTGGTAAAAAATTTGTATCGATTTTATCAGCAGTTGCAGTGTTGTCACTAAAACTATGATCCAATATTGGTGCTAGACCAGCTACACTTGTAAAAAAAGCTGCTTCTGGGGCAAATGCCCTGAGTTTATGTAAACTATTATTGCTAAACTTAACAACATTTTCAGAAAATGAGTAATTTTTTTTAGGATTTTTGATATTTTGTGTTGAAAAAGGTAGTTGATTTTTCATTGGTCGCTTAAAATTAATGTTTTGTAGCATTGATGGTTCTGCTTTGTTTTCTAGATCTGTTCCACACAAAGTTTGCTTGTAACTGCAACTTTATTTGCCTGAATTCTAACATATGCTTCTAGTTTAAATAGAAAAGCTGCTACATGGCTGCATACAGATCCAAGACTAAAAAATTAACATAGGTTATTTAGTTTATGTTAAAAATGTATAAATTATGTTATAAATAGTTTTTTTAAAATAATTTATTACCCTGCCATGCATGTGCAATTTCCAGTAAGTATCCATCCGTCAACTTTGTTAAAGGCAACCCATACATCATAAAGTTTAGTTTTTGGCCCTGCCTTTGACTCAGAAGTACCTGTTTATATATATATATATATATATATATATATATATATATATATATATATATATATATATATATATATATATATATATATATATATATATGTATGTATATATATATATATATATATATATATATATATATATATATGTATGTATATATATATATATATATATATATATATATATATATATCATCAAAATCAAAAAATATCATATATATATATATATATATATATATATATATATATATATATCATCAAAATCAAATATATATATATATATATATATATATATATATCATCAAAATCAAAAAATATTTTTTGATTTTGATGAGATCTTGAGGTTCCTCTTTGGATTCTAAATCCTTGATGGATCCTCATATTTTTGAATTTTTTTTTTTCTAAACTATATCAAGCTTGGACTCAAAAAAAGCATAAAAAAATGCTTGTTTTATCAATAATAATTTTATTAAAAAAAATTTTAGTGAAAAAAATATTTGCGAAAAATATACCTTAAACCCCTGTTTTGATGAAGACGAGGGTTTTTTAATGAAAAAAACGACATTATTTTTTCTCTTTAGTTTTAAATCAAAACAAATATTATATTCAAAATTCTTTTGAGTTTAGAAGAAAAAAAATTACAACAATATTAGGATCCGTCATAAATTTAGAATCCAAAGAGAAACCACTAAAACTCATTTAAATTAAAAAAAAAAAAAGTAAGGTTCTTTTTTCACCAAAAGACATCGATTCGCAGCTCAGGCAAACCAAATATCAAAAATTTTTAAAATCGATCCACCCTAATATATATATATATATATATATATATATATATATATATATATATATATATATATATATATATAATATATATATATATATATATATATATATATATATATATATATATATATATATATATTTATATATATATATTTATATGTATATATATATATATATATATATATATATATATATATATATATATATATATATAGTACTGTGAATATGTTTTAGACCACTTATATAATTAGTTGTATTTTCAATTTTTTTCCTGTGTATTTTTTTTTTTGAGCATACTGAAGTTGAGTAATATTTGAGAAAGGTTGAAAGAATATATTATCTTGAATAAATAAACAAAAATTTATGAGGAACATAAGGGATATGTTTGTTTATTTATTAAAACGATAATTGTCATAATAACTGCAGACCAAGCGTTCATCTAAATAATACATAAAAATAAAATTTTCGATTTTTTTCTTACTGGTTCAGGTTCATATTCGTTCATTTAAGTTTTTAACAGTATAAAATGTAGTCATAGAGTAAATTTAATACAATAATAATTGGTTTTGGTACATTTTTTAAAAAGTTGTAATTTTTTATGAATACAGTTAAACAAATAGTTAAAAATAATTAAATAAAGTTATTAGTTTACATTTTTAGATTAATTAAGTGTTGCTATGGGTAAAATATCTTTAATAGAGAGACAGAAAGTTATTGTGCTTCACGAAGAGGGTTATTCGCAGCTCCAAATTTCTTCCAAAACAGGATATTCGAAGACTGCTATTAGAGAAATCATTAAAAAGTTTAGAGAAACTGGCTCCTTTCGAAATAGAAAGAAAAGTGGCAGACCTCCTAAGCTAACAAAAGATGACAATAAATATTTAAAAACCCTTTCTTTAAGAAACAGGAAAAAAACATCCACCGAATTGGCAAAGGACATTAATACAGCAACAGGGAAAAATGTTAGCTCTTCTTGTATTCGACGACACCTACTCAAATCAGGATTACGAGGCTGCGTTGCTATTCGAAAACTTTTATTACGGCGTGGCAATAGAGAAAAACGACTTAAATATGCAAAACAACACAAAGATTGGACCCAGAAAATGTTTAATCGGGTTCTGTACACTGATGAGTCCAAATTTGAAATTTTTGGAACGAAAAGACGTCAATATGTTCGAAGAAGAATAGGAGAAGCCTATCAGCCCGAGTGTTTAAACCCTACTATTAAACACGGAGGAGGCTCTTTACAAGTTTGGGGCTGTATATCTTCATCTGGGGAAGGTGATCTGATCAAAATAGAGGGACGACTCATCGGGGAACGTTATGTGGATATTCTAAGACAGCATGCTATACCATCCGGAATGAGACTAATAGGCCATAATTTTATTCTGCAGCAGGACAATGACCCAAAACATTGTTCCCGAGTGGCAAAAAATTATTTAAACGAAATGGCAGAAGAAGGAATACTGGAAATGATGACCTGGCCTCCCCAGAGTCCAGATTTGAATATAATCGAGCATATTTGGGATTACTTGGAAAGGAAAAAGGTCGAACATGCTCCCCAAAATGCTGAAGAATGTTTTCAACTACTTCAAAGAGAATGGCACAACATACCGCAGGATTTTATAACAAATTTGTATGAATCTATTTCCCGGCGAATATCGGCTGTGATTAAGGCAAAAGGAGGACATAGTAAATATTAAGGGTT